TTTAAAGTTATGATTATTTTGGGAAGGTATATAAAGTATATACAGTGCTTGCTACAAGAGATACTTAAAAAATAGTGGTTCCAGTCCTCCCATTTCTATGCAATTTTGCCTGAGAAACTTCTTTTCTGTTTGCCGTTTGAGCTCTTTTATGCAGAAGGTGGATTGGTGAGTAGAGGAGAGATCTGAATTTTCTTTATGCAAATTTTTATTTTTCTAACAACTTCTCAGTTTCTATAGAAACTATAGTTTCTATAGTTCGAGTGGATCATACAATATCACTCTCTTTCCCTTAGATTTGGCTATTCATCCTCAGTCATTTGCCATCCTTTCACTCCCTTACCATGGGTTACAGTTTCCCATGTTTTATTGAAGATAGTGTTTCTGTTCCTGTTTCTTGTTCTTCTTATAACTGCATGAGTTTGGAGAAAAACTTTTTTACTCTGTAATCTTGAAATTAAAAGTCCATGTGGTCTTTTTCTGTTACATCACAATGTCTCTCCAGAAATTCAAAGCAAAGTATATAAAATAGATCATCATTACCCAGGAGTAGTGTACTGTATTGTATTAGTTCAGGACAGTATCTTTATAAATTCTTCCTCTGTGGTTTAATCTCCACCTCCCTAAAATTTTACTCATGGTTTTGTTGGTTTTTTTTTTTTTTTGCCCCAAAGCTGAGGAGCAAATCTCTACATATTAATACTCTTATTTTAGTTATCATGATTACTAAATGGTGAAAAGGTAAAACCCTCTGGTTCCCTACCAACTACTGTAGTTAGTACTGACCACATTTTCTTATATCTAGACAACAAAGAATGTTTGCTAAAATTGTATATAAGGGTTCACCAAAGTTTATAGTGGAAGACTATTTTGCTTTTTATGTTTTATTTATGTTTTTTGATAGGTTTCTTTTGAGGTGCATTTTCCCCCTAATTTTAGTTGATCTAAGTTATTCTAAAGTTATCACCTTTCCAGTAATTTGAAACCATTTTCTTTTCAGCTGTAAATATGTACTTACTATATTCTGTGCTAAAATATTTCTCAGTATATATCTAAAGTAGTGGTTCTCAAACTTGAATCTAAGAATCCCTTGGGAACTTGTTAGGGAGTGCTAATCCTTGGGCTCAGCCTCCAGAAGTAGATTCATTAGGTATGGGGTAGGGCCTAGGATTTTGCAGTTTTCTGATGCTGTTAATCCATGTATTTGAAAAAACTGATATAAAGATTATATAGGGAAATCCATGTTTAGTGATCAATTCAGGAAAACTCAAAAGACTTTTTTTTTGGTCTAATTTGTATATTTAAATTTTTATTACTTTTATTGATGTATAGATTCATCATGTTATATAAATTACAGGTGTACAGTATACTGTGTCACATTTTTAAAGGTTATACTCCATTTATAGTTACAAAACATTTGCTTATATTCCCTATGTTGTGCATTGTGCAATATATCCTTGTAAGTTATTTTATATCTAATAGTTTGTACCTGTTAGTCCCCTATCCCCCTATATTACCCCTTCCCGTTCCCTCTCGCATTGCTAACCACTAGTTTGTTCTCTCTGTGAGTTGGCTTCTTTTTTGTTATATTCACTAGTTTGTTGTATTTTTTAGATTCCATATATAAGTGATATCATGCAGTATTTGTCTTTTCTGTGACTTATTTCACTCAGCATAATGCCTTCCAGGTCCATTCATATTGCTGCAAATGGCAAAATTCCATTCTTTTTATGGCTGAGTAGTGTTCCATTGTTTATATAGACCACAGCTTCTTTATCCATTCATTTGTTGATGGACACTTAGGTTGCTTCCATATCTTGGCAATTGTAAATAATGCTGCTATGAACAGTGGGGTGCATGTATCTTTTTGAATTAGTGTTGTTGTTGTTGTTTTTTTGTTTTTCTTTTGGGTATATACCCAAGAGTGAAATTGCTGGGTGGTATGGTAGTTCTGTTTTTAGTTTTTTTGGGAAACCACATGTTTTCCACAGTGGCTGCACCAATTTATATTCCCATCAACAGTGCAGGAGGGTTCCCTTTTCTCCACATCCTCACCAAAATTTGTTATTTATATTCTTTTTGGTGCTAGCCATTCTGACAGGTATGAGGTGATATCTCATGATTTTGATTTGCATTTCCCCGATGATTAGCAATATTGGGCATCTTTTCATGTGCCTAATGGCCATCTGCATTTCCTCAGTTCTCCTGCCCATTTTTTAATTGGGTTGTTTGTTTTTTTGATGTTGAGTTAATATGAGCTATTTATATATGTTGGATATTAACCACCTGTCAGTTACATCATTTGCAAATATTTTCTACCATTCTGTAGGTTGTCTTTTCTTTTTGTCAATGGTTTCCTTTGCTGTGAAAAAGCTTTTAAGTTTAATTAGGTCCCATTTCTTAATTTTTGCTTTTATTTCCTTTGTTTTAGCAGACAAGTTTTAAAAAATATTGCTACAGTTTAAAAATACTGCTGTGATTTATATCAAAGACAGCTATTCCTCATGTCTGCCTATGAGGAAAACAGACTTTTTAAACTTGCTTATCTCTTGAAATTTTGAATCATACTCTTGTTGGTCTTTGGTTCTGTGTGACTTAAAGCCAGGTGGTTGGGACTTTAACTTCCTGGCATATATTGAGGCTAGTGTTGTAGGTAGTTGGACTTCATCCAGCAGATTTAAGACCAGTAAATAAGAAGCTATTACAGGACCCATTGTAGATGAAGTGGAAACAATTTTCAGCTGAATGCTAAATAACTTCAGTGAATATGGTGCCTAGTAATTTATTTTGTGTTTAGCTGTCATGTCTACTTTCTTTTAATCAGAACCATTTCCTTAGCATTTCTTTGTGTTTTATGACATTGACACTTTTGAAGGGTGACAGACCATTTATTTTTAGAATCTCCCTCAATTTGGGTTTGTCTGATGTGTCCTTGTGATTAAATTTAGGAAATGCAGTAGTTTTGGCAGAAAGGCTACGTTAGTGCTGTGTGCTTCTCAGGGCATCACATTAGGAGGCACATATCCATTTGTCCCATTATCTGGGATACCAACTTTGATCTTCTGATTGATATAATATCTGCCACGTTCTTCCACTTAAAAGCTATTATTTTTCCTTTTCCAGTAAGTAGTTTGTGGGGAGACACTTTGAGACTCAGTATGTGCTCTTCCTTATCAACCTTTCATCCACAAAGAATTTTAACATTCTTTGGTGATTTTGCCAAAGTCTCTGGTATAGTACTTGAAGTTCAAATGTTTAGTTGCACAAACTCAGTAATATAGGAGGGAGTCTGTTCTAACTGTTGAGTTCCTTAGCTTTAGGGAGTATTTTGTGTTGAACTGGAATTTGTCTTCTGACACACTGTTTCAAATTCTGTACTTTTGTGTCATGTGAGATAAGCCTACTCTTTTTTTCTCTTTAACAGCCCTTAGAAATGAATTCCCGTTTTCTCTTGGTTATGTAACTCCCATTTCTGAGCAGTGTTTCTTGTGAGAGATAGCTTTCCTAAATTTATAGCCATTCTGTTGATTTCCTGATAACACTCATTTATCAATATCATACTTAACAGAGTACCAAATCCAGATACCAATTCCAGATGTGGTTTGATCAGTACAGTGGGTTGCTGTTGCCTATAATCTGGCTTGATGCTTAAGAGCACCAGGCTTTGGAGACAAATAAATCTGGATTGAAGTCCTAGGTCTTCCATTTATCAGCTCTTTGATTTTGAGCAAGTTCTTAATATCTCTAAACTTCAGTTCCATAATCTGAAAAGATTTGGTAATAATTACACCTGCCTTTTAGAGTGGAATGAGGATTAAGTGTGCATGTAAAATTCTGGAAATGGTGTCCATAATCACTAATTAAATATTAATTATTGTCAATATAGAAAGCATGCTTCTGTTTTACAGCCCAAGATTGGTACGATTTATTTTTTAGCTGTTGTATTTTACTGTGAGCTCATTTAAACCTGTGGTGAAAATCAGAAAGTTTTAGTAAGTTCTACTGAAGCACAGTTAGACTCTTGAACAAATATTTTAAAACTTGTATGAGTATTCTATCAAGATAGAACTCATATAGTTTTGAATTATTTCTTGTTATTTATACAGTAGAAGTAGATTATAAAGAAACATTTGAGTTATTTTGAATGAACCATAAAACCTTTAGTCTTCCTTTATTGCATAACAAATAATGCTATCAATTTTTCAGCTTTAAATAATACTTTAAAAATTAGCCAGTGTGTGTGTGTTTGTGTGGGGGTATTCGCCAGTGAATTTTGAGTGTTTGGATGCTGTTTCTTATGGTGTTTTTAAATGATGTTGTTAATATAGATAGTAAATTTATTCTGTGAAATCCTAAAACTTTTCCTAAAATTTACTTATAAAAATTGAGGTTAATAATATACATGTAAGGGAAAAATATTTACCTAGGTATTTTAGAACATTTTGATTGAATGCAGTTTTATTTTCTAGACAAGGTAACACTTGATTAACCTGTAGTAATAATGATACTGTAGAAATTTGAATCTGTGGGGAAATGTGCTATAAACCTTCATTGTAAATGTTAGAAAATTGGCTCCTCTTTCTGTCTCAATGAGACCAAGAATCTTTCTCCCCAGTCAGGGTCCCAGGGGATATTCTTGGGACACTGAGGGTACCTCCCTGACTATCTCTTCATGAAAGTTGTTCTTTAATTGGTTTATGCTAAAGAAATTAGCTAAATTTTTAGAAAAATACATAGTTTTGCCTACTTTGGGTACAAATGATTATAAAAATAATTTTTTTTTACCTAGCCTTTGGTCAGGTGAAGAAAAATCTGTGTGTTAAAGTTATATACTATATTATACATTGGTGTCAGATACCAATTGAAATACTCTTAATTTTACATAACCCTTTTTATGTAGCTGTAATAGTGAAAGCACTCCTTAAAATTTTAGACAATTAAAATGTCGATAGTCAATTTTAACTGTCTCAACTCTGTTTCATGTTAAATGTGTTACAGGAATGAATCTGAAGTCTGCTGCAGTAAAACACTGAAGGCTTTAAAATGTTTTCTTGCATAAAATTCAAACTTTAAGTAGCTGCTTATGAGGATAGGGAAGGCAGGAAGCTAATGTCTGTCTCAAGATACAGGACAGCTGTTTGCTCATCAACCTCAACTGTGTGAGTAGACTTAAGCCTGGGACCTATGTAATTCGGCATAATACCTAAAACGTTAAATCTTAAGTGCTTGAAGATACACTTAAGTCAGCATGATGAGGTATTTTTTTAGGGTCTGATTTTTTTTTTTTCTGGTGGGTAGGATATTGAGGGTGGAGAGGATAGTAGATGTTTATTGATAGAGTACTTTTGAGAATAACACTTAATAACTAAATATTATTAGTGACCATGCATTTTTCATCATTATTCTATTACTGTGAAACAAAAAGTTATAATTATTGATTGCTGTTTATTTTGCAGTTGATTTCAGCCTTTTAAACATGATTTGACCAAACAATCATAAAAATGTATTTTGAGAATATGATGTTAGATGTTAATATAAAAAATTGCTCCTGGAGATAATTTAATAATTTAAATTATAATTAATAATTTTTAAAATAGCTCTGTTTAATCAGAGAGAGCATATACTTCAAAATAAAGGAACTCTTGTTTCCTAAATGCATTTGAAAGTCTTTTACACTTGCCAACTATGTTTTTTAAAGTGCTTTGATATAATATAAATACCTGAACAAAATATTCCTTTTTCTCTTACTAAAAGCTATCACCTTGAGAATCAATTCGAGGGAAAAAAAGAATCAATTTGGGATGGAGGAGTCTGATTTTGTTTTTCCCCTGCTGTCCTCTGTGTTTTAATTTTGTTTTTGTTTTCCCTCCTTCATGGATTTAGGAATAAGACTCTTAATTGAATGTTTTTCCCCCTTAGAGGAAAGCCTGATTTGTAAAGATGAGGTAATTAAAGTATAAGACATTGCCGTGAGCAATATGATGAGCATGTAGATAAAATTTATAAAATCTTATTATTTTTGAGGCATGGAGTCGAAGGAATATTATTTGCACTGAGATGAATTTACTTTCATATCACGTGTGTTAGCTGAAGGAAAATAAAAACTGACTGACTTTAGAATCAGTGAATGGGAAGACATTTAGAAAGCATATGAAGAATATACACTGAATATGAGTATTCTTATGAAAGTAGTTAAAGGGTACATGGCAGAAATGAAGAGATACATGTAGTTGCTTTGCAAAGTCATTAAAAAAAATGAGATTTCAGTCCGGCCAACTTTTTTCCTTTCTGGATTGGTCAGTAAATATACAGCACTGTGTGAATTCCAGGATTACCTAGTTTCTAATTTTTTGATAGCTCTAAAGAAATCTTTTTTTCTTTCTGTTTTTTTGTAATGGAGGTACTGGGGATCAAACCCAGGACCCTCCTGCATGCTAAGCAGGGACTCCACCACTGAGCTATACCCACCCTCCAAGAAATCTTGTTTAATGATGGCAAGTCTCATTTTAATGAATTTTTAGGATCTGTAATACGAGATTTAACTCTCCAGTTTACAGTCATTTGGCATTTCATTTGTAGTTTAATTTGGTCCTTTTTCTTTAAATAGTACTCCAAAACATATCCCTCCTCTCTTTATTTAATTAGTGTCAAAAATAAATTGTTCAGTGAAGGAAGCTTTTAGAACATACAGTAAAACTTTGATTTTTAGGGTGAAATTATGCAGAAAGGACACACAATAGGAAAAGAGAGACGCTTTTAAAACTATAGAGAATTTGAGGGGAAACTGTATGCCAGTAAATTGGTCCCCAGTTTTCATTTCTCCTTTTGTCTCTCTGAGATGTTTCCTTGTGTTCTATATTGCTTTTCTCCCAAGCAGGTAGAGGAAAGTGCTAAGAAGCTAATTAACTTTCCTGGGCTAGAAAATTCACATAGGAGTGTGTGAGCGCCATACATAAAACTCTTGCTACTCTGTCCCCTGTCGTGTCATACCCGTTACCTTACCACGTAGGCTTTTTGTTGATCTTGCACCCATTTGTATAGTAGAGTTTTGTGTAGATTATATATGTGTTTTAGCTTCTTATATTGTTGTATTTTGCAGTATGCATTAACATGAGGTTCCTGAGCTACATTTAATGCCATGTAACATGATTAAGTACCCAGGCTGTATGTAGAGACAGGCGGCCTGATTCAGATCCTAACTATTCCTTTTAAAAACCGTGTGGCACTGAGCAAATGACTTAAGTCTTTCTGTGATTTAGTTTTTCTACTCTGTAAAATAGATACAGTAATAATTTGCTACCTGATACGGGGTCTTGTGAGGTTTAAATAAGGCATCAGTGCTGCAAATTATTATCATTATTATTATTATCTTTTATTTCTTCTTTGAGAGGCATAATACTAAGTGGGCTATTATAAATCCTTAAAGTAATAGATTTTAAGGCTTTAGAATTAAGAATTTGGAACTCATAAAATAGGGTATTTTCAGTTAGGTATCATGGGAGACATCTCTATATTAGCTTACTTTCTTACCTAAGTAAGTTCTCAGTCTTCTACCTATCTAGCCCAGTTTCAGTTTCTCAGTAGCCACATGTGGCTAGTGTATTGGACAGTGCTGTTCTAGATAGTTGGGTTTTAATCTGTGTAATGTATTAATGTATTGATGTATTAATATATTGATGACACACAGCTGTATGCGTCTGGAATGTGAAAGATTGGTTCTTGCATCAGATATAACTCCACAAAGGAAAAGGAAAGGAAACCAGAATATTTCTTGAAGAATGTTGGCGAAAGTTAGGAATATTTTCTCTAGGTTTTAGGTAATGTGATTTGTAGGAAATTTACCAAAGTTATTATAATGTTATTTTAAAGTAAGATGAAGGCATAGAAGGGTAAATTAAGCAGTGTTGTAAGTTTTGAGTTCTGTCAGTGACCGCTTCTTGGATTAAAGTGAGCCATTTTTTTTACATTCAGATGCTGATAGGGTGCTCTCTAATCTAGAAGCACCTTTGAAAGACTGGCAGTGTTACAGATGGTGCATTGACTCGTTCTGGAAGGACTAGGTATCAGTAAGAGAATATCCTCTGTTGGGGATGATCCTCCTAAAGCCTAAAAGTAGTCTGCATTTCAGCACTTTCTCACTACCAGAGTGGAGTTGAGTAGTTACTATTTGGCACACAAAGCCTGAATTATTTACTGTTGGGCCCTCTTTAGAGAAAAAGTTTACCAATTGTAATCTACAGTGCTGGGGATACAACCCTGAAAAAAACTAAATAATCGTTTTGTGTGTTTAATTTGGTTTTTCTCTTACGTTACTCAGTCCTTACAGACCATATTATTTGTTCATTGTTCATGTTTCATTTCATAGTGAAGGGTGATGTAGATTACTGTATAGCTGTCATAACTCTGAATTTGTGTAGGTATGTTTCCTTAGTAGACTTCTCCCTGAAATGAGAAACAGAGAGCTGTCTGCTCATATTCTGTCCAAGGGTAGACTTCAATTTGGGGTGTGTGGATAGGAAACTAGAATGAGGAAGACTTTACTCTGGAATGCCAGTGTCCCAGAATAGGCCAAAGAGGAAAACACAATGAATTGTGATTGGTTTCAGGATTTAATAAAATTAATAATCTGTTGTTTTATCAAGAATATTCATACCTCACACACACACACACAAAAGCTTAAAAAAAGGATATTCTTAAGTGAAAGTGGCTTTTTGGGTGGCAAGGTAGGTGAGAGTGTGGTGGCTAAGAATACGGTGATTGGTGACTGCTAGTACAGTTGGCTTCTGCTGCCCTAGCTTCGTGCTAAGGCTCCGGCTTGTTTTACCCTCCATTGCTTTTACGCTGCCCGTCAACAGCACAGTGAAAAGGCAAGTCGCAGGTTCTTGTTTTTATGAAAATAATTTTGACCTCCTGGACCTCCAAAAGGATCTCAGCAGTCCCCAGCGGGAGTCCATAGATAAGCTTTGGGGACTACTGATTTAGGGCATGGATTCCAGCTAGACTGCTTAGGTTGACTTTTGGCTCCACCGCTTACTAGCTGTGTGACTTTAAGCCGTTTACTTCAATCTGTCTATACTTCAGTTTCCTCATCTGTGAAATGAGGGTGGTGATAATACCTATGTCATAGCCTTGTTACGAGGATTAAAGGAGTTGATATAAAGTACTTATACTTGGCACACAAAGCACTACACAAATACTGTTAAACAAAACTAAATAGTAAAGCCAGTTACTTGTGTAAAAAGTGTTGTACAAAGTTCCAGAATAGGAGAGATTTAAATTTAGAGACTGACCACATACAACAGAAGAAATCAAGGAGAAATACTCATTTACAAATATTGGAAACTAAGTTGGAGGTTTGCATTAGGAGAAGAGATTTCTTAACAGGGTTGGGACAGGGAGGTGAAGTGCAGTCTCCATGGTTGAATTAAAAGGTTTAAGGTCAAAGAGGAGGAACTAAAAAGGAGGGTCATACATGTGGATCTTGCACACATAGACCTTTTTTTATGTTAGTCTTTTGGAGAAGAATGAATGAACGCTCATGAATGTGGAAACCACTGGGAAATTTTGAGTGGGTTTACTGTTTTGCAAAAAAAAAAAGAGTTGTGGATCCACCTTGTGCAGGTAATAACTTTATCTGAATTCTTTAAGGTATGCAATATGGAATGTAGGTCAATTTGAGAACATAAGTATTGACTACAACTTTAATTATAAAATTACTATGTTTGGTTTGCTAAATTAGGCAAATTGCTAAATGAACCCCTCTCCGAGTGGACAAAATTAGAAAAGTTACCCAAAAGCTTGGAGCATGAGGCTAAGCCTCCTTGTTCAGTGCCCAAATTGTATTACGTAGTGGCTCCTGCTGGCAGACGTAGATTTTTTCTCAAGCAGCACATTCACTCTCTTTAAAAAGAGCTTGTTGCAGCCTATCTGCCTTGGGGTACATACCTGGCTACTACACATTGTCATACAAGGCTGCTACCTGGCCAGCCCAGTTTCATGCATACATTCAACACATACTAAATGCCTGCCGTGCGCCAAGCATTATTTTAAGCATCAGTGAAAAAAATGGGCAAAATATTTGCCGTTACAGAGGTTACATTTTAGTAAAGGGAGCACGGATTCACCAAGTGTAACTTAATAGTAAATTAAGACTAAGGTAAGGGCATTGAAGAAAAATAAAACTGGAAAGGGTAATAAAAAATACTGGTGGCAGTTTTAAATAGGGTGGTCGGGGAAGCCTTCTCTGATAAGATGGCATTTGAACAAAGACCTGAAGGAGATGAGCCATGGTGACTTCTGGAGGGTAGAAGTTACAGCAATTACAAAAGCCTCGAGACAGGATCATGCATACCTGGCAAAGCTGGCAGTGTGTATGATCAGGGAGGAGTGGGAGAGGAGGTCAGTTAATAAGGGCGGTAAGCAGTTTGGCTTTTACTTGGTGAACTGGGAAGCCATTGGAGGATTTTAAGTAAGCAAGCAGTGTGAGTTGCTTTAGATTTTAACAAGATCACTGGCTGCTGTATTGAAGACAGACAGACACAATGTGTATACACTATATAATTCCATTTATTAAAAGTTAAAAATAAGAAAAGCTAATCTAAGGTGTTAGAAGCCAGCATAGTGGTTAGTTATCCTTGGGGAAAGGATAATATTTGGAAAACGGTGTGAGGAAGCTTTTGTGGGGTATGAATGATGTTCTATGTCTTGATTAGTGTGCTAGTTAGTTACCCAGTTGTGTTCAGCTTGTGAAGTTTCAAGCTTTACATCTGGAACTTTGTATACTTTCGTATGTTTAAAGAAGAAAAGAATGGGAGTTGTTGATTTCTTTACTTTACCATAGGACATCTCAATTGAACTAATGGAGTATCTTTCATTTTGATAATGTGTTGATTGTGTTCGGTTTGAACATTTTAGTAGAGCAACTTGATTATAACATTTGTAAGGACTTTGAATTGCAAGTTACAGAAACCCAAATCAAACTAAAGCAAAACCAGAATTTGTTCACATAGCTGAGAAGTCTAAGAGATGGAACTGTCCTCAGCAAAGTGTTTGAGTTCAACGCCTCTTTGTCTTGACTCCTTCCTACTCATTTTGGCTTTGTTTATAACCTTATTTTAATTAAATGTTAAATGTGGACTCTTTCTCCATTGTGGCAAAGACGTCCACCAGCAGCACTAGGCTTATATTGTATTGTTTTTAGTGTAATCCCAGAGCACAGTCGGCCTCTTTCCCAGTAGTACCGGTAAAATCCAGGGAGGAATGGTTGGTTCATATTGAGTCACATGACCAGGCTTGGCTCTCATGCCCACCCCTGAGACATGTCTGGCCCTGAGAAGAAGTTAGGCCTACCCTAAGCAAATGAAATGGTCTTCCCACGTGAAAAAGAGGTTCTGTTACCTGAAAGAATAAGGAAGGAAAACATACTAGGCAGACATAAACTGTCAGTTTCAGGAATATGAATATCTTCCATGTTCAGTTATTGAATGATTTTATAATTATTAAGACATCATGGGTTTTATTTAGCCTTCGTGAATAGAAAACTGTGTACTAAATACACATGGACAGTTTGTACCAAGAACATTACTGTCATTTCTCAGATTTTAGCTGCAGCTCTCCGTATACCCTATACCTGGTGACGCAGAGTTGTTTGAAATACTGCTTTTCATAGTCCTCTCCCCTTACTGAGCGATGAACATACTTATTGAGTAGGTGAGACTTAGCAAGAGCAAATAATACTTCAAATTTATGTTGTTTTGGATTAGAGAATCTCAGTTAGTAGTACCTATGCTTAAGTCCCATGTCCACCTAGCCTCCCCGCGTCATCTGCAGTGATTAGACCAGAGTCATTTGCTTATTTCATCCCGAGGTTGACAGACTTGGCTCATCAGCTATTTTTGTTCAACCCATGAGCCTAGGAATGGTTTTTGCATTTTTAAGTGGTTGTGGGGAAAAAATCAAAAGAGGAACATTTTATAATGTGAAAATTCTAATTTTGGTGACTGTAAGTATAGTTTTATTGGAACACAGCCGTGCTCATTTGTTTACATATTGTCTAGCTGCTTTTGCATGACTACAGCAGAACTGATTAGTTATAACAGATTTTATGTCTGTTTAGCCTAAAATGTTTACTGTCTGGTCGTTTATAGAAAAGTTTGCCAACTGCTGATTTACTCATTGTTGGGTAGAATGAAACAAATGAGTCATCTAAGATGGGAATGCCATTCATAGTCTTTCTAAAACCTGTTTTATTCAGTTGGAAACATGATAGTGGCCTCTCTTTATGAGATTTATCATGCCAGTCATTGAAAACTTCCCGTAAGTCAGTAACTGGGAAAGTGAGGTTTGTATATACTAGAATTAGTTTTGGGGTCTCTTATCCTTATGTAACCTAGTATGTTGGAACTGATGAATTTATCATTTACTGGGAAGGAATATGTAGCATCCCCAAACATGTTATCCTTATGTTAGCTGGACTCACACCTTTTTGTCTTTCAGCCCAAACAGCAACAGGAAAGGCAACCTGACATAGGGAAGTGGGTACTGTTATACAGAGAGAGAACAACATAGCTTCCTCAGTACACTAGAAACCCTAATCCAAAGTCCCTGTACTTTTATCAGAGTAAGTAGCATTCGTCCCAACTCTTTTATGTCGAGTCATACTTTCTGATCTGTTTGCTTTATGAACTTTCCTGGATTTTTGTAATCTCTGCAAAGGTTCTTGACCCCCCAGAACAAATGTGTATTGCCCATGTGATAGCCAGTAGATCCAAATGCTCAGGACTCCATAAGAAATTACTATATGCTACCAGGAGATGTTAATCTCAAACACTTATGACAGGATGAGTATTCCTCTTTTGATCAATTACTATTAAGAAAACAAAAATTCTAGTAGAATATACCATAAATTCTGCTGTTCTCTTTTCTGGGATCTCTATTTGATAAAATAGCAAATAGGGCCAGCCGGTGCTGAGTGGCTTTCTAATGACTGAAAAGGCTAGGGGGTGGGGGGAAGGCTTCTTACCACTTTGTGCCTGTAGTACTAGTTGAAAGTTTAATGTGAGTTCTTGTTTAACTCAGCATGTTACGTATTTTTTTCCCTGAAATTAATAGGAAAGATTCCAAATTGAAAAAGTCATAGGTGTTAACCTAGGAATTAAGAAACTCTGGTAACTGAAAGTGAAGGTGGTCTCAAATTGGAGAGTATAGGCTGTAAGAGGCGGCGTAGCTGATGGGTGTTAATTTTGGAAATACCAGTTCACTGTTCCCAGGTCTTGCTATTTTTCAAGAGAAGCTGGAAATCTGAGATTTCTGTGTGACATTCCGTAATTTCTGAATGCTAACAGCTTATTTTAAAATTTTAGTATGTGCTGACTAATCAGATATGCCTGTGTATTGGATTTAACTTGTTTGCCAGTTTGTAGCTTCTGTAGATTAACTTGTCATAAGTTATATATCCTCCCTATTGCAGGAGGAGGGAGAAGAATAATGAATGAAAAGTCATATGCATTTTGTAACTGGCTTGGGTTACTGATCATTCTTGCTGAAGGACTGTTTCAGTATATAAATTATGAGTTCTGTGATTGAAACATTTTATATCAATCTGTTTTCTCCTCTTTTCAATGGAAAATAATCATTTTTTGGCCTGACGTGAATACTTCTAACAATAATGAAATGTGTTTATTCAACAAAACATTTTGTAGTATTCATATTAGGCATAAAGGGGATTTGAAGAGGAAACTGTTCAACTGGGAAGTGACTTGTATACCTATGAAGCACTTGTGTAGTGCTTAGCTTAAGTGCCCCAAAAGGATGGTACAGACAGCTTCTTTAGGAATACATAGCAGAGGAGGATCGAGGTGGACAGAAATGGTCCCAGAAGTAGAATTTAAGCTGATTCCTGAATAGGATTGTTCCAGGCATAGTGAAGAAGTGGACAGAATTTACAAAGGAAGGAGCAATATGAGCTAGAAGCTTGTTTCCATCAGTGAGCATGATTTGTTTCAAACAGCAAAGGTCTCTCTGCTTTGGGAAGAACAAAGAGCAGTTACTGAGTTTCTGCTACCTACCAGGCTCTGTATAAAAGCTTTCTACATACATTGTTTTACTTAGTCTAGTTAGATGTATGATATGAGCGCCCTCTTAAGGAGTTGAAACTTAGAGAAGTTGAGGAACATGTCCAAGCTCTTATACTAATAAAAATGGCAAAGCTGGGATTTAACCCCAAGCCTATTCACTTCTCACTCAGCATACGTTTCAGGGAAATTGGGCTAGTTGGGATAGATTATGTAGAGCATGAATGCCAGGTCTAGTACTCCTTTCTGGGGCAGTTATATAGTAACTAAAACAGAAGTAATATGATGAGAACTGGGTATTTTGTAAGAATTTACAAAAGTGAATTGTGAGGAAAGATGGTAAAACAGAAAGAAAAAACTGTTAAGAGTAACCCGGGTATGAAATGAGAATCAGAATTGGAATGCAAAAGAAAAGAGCATGAGATATTTCAAAATGGAAATTATTATAACTTGGTGACTTAACTCTATGGGATGAAGTAGAGGGAAATAATTAACTGACATGTATTTGCAGTTATAATTGAGTCTGTGTTGCATTCATTCATTGCTGTTCTTTTGTCAGAATTCTAACGATTGGTAATGAATTTTCTTTGCAGTCTTAAAATATTTGATCTTGAATTTTTATGCTAATGAGAATTTCTTAGGTAAAAAGACTTAAAGGAAAAACAGATTTTCTTAAGACCTTGGTTAAGCTTATTAAAGCTGCATAATATCTCAAGGTTGAATAAATGAGTGAAATTTTAAATTATCTTTAAATGAAAAGAATAAGAATTCACAAGCTCATGGACTTACAGGTTTGACGGGACAGGATGGACTTTGAAAGTCATTCTGGTATTTTAGATCAAAAAAGACATTGACCTAATTGCTTACAAGATATGTGACCTTGGGCAACTTATTAAGTCTCTGAATATCAGTTTCCTCATTTAAAAATGGGGATATCAGTAGTACCAACATCACAGGGTTTTGGGGAGAATGAAATAAGATAAATACAGCAATAAAAACAGTTTGGGGCCCATAGTAAGCTCTGAATAATTAAGTAATATCCAAGGGGGTTAGAGAGGATCATCAGTTGTGGTTTTGGTTATGAATGTTATTAAGAGTCAAAAATCACAGTTCTGAATTCTCTCTAATTAGTACTTTTTTTAATTTTAACACCATGTTAATCAGTTTTTCTGTGTATGTTTGGTAATCTCGTTCTTTAGTTCGTTGGATTTGCAGCTTTATAATCCCACAAAACATAGAGCCATTAAGAAATTGTTCTGTCTTTTCATTCGCTTTCCTCTTTTCCTTCCTAAATGCCAGGCTAATGGGCCCTCCAAATTGTTTACCTACCAGAAAGGTACAGTAGCAGGTGGAGGCTAGACTTCCAGTTTCTCTGTACCTACCCCATCTTTCCCATTACATATAAAAATAAACCCTTTTATGGTTTTTGCTCTTTTTCTGAATCTTCATGGAAAGGTATATTTTGTGGCCTAGAAGTGAATAAATAAAGTTGATTCTTTTTTTTTTTTTTGCTTTATTCTCTTTGTTTCTTGTTAAGTAACCTGTGAAATCCTGTGTTGTTGTTTTTTTTAATCTGCCAAGGTAATAGCTCTTTATAGGAAAGCTCTTACGAAAATTATTACTAATTTGCTGCTGTGCAAGGCAGTTTGGATTGGGGAAATTGCTAGTGTTACATGTTTTAAATTTTAATTTTACTATTCAAGAGCAGGAATTGTGATATAAAAAGCTTGGTAGTCATGTTGTACTTTTAATCTGACTATTCACTTGAGTTTTTATGGAAATGAGATATTTATCTTTTCTAGATGCTTGTAATTGCCAGCATATACTGAAAGATTTATCAGTACTGGTAGGGGAAGTTCTTTAATTCTTATAACATATCATTTTAATGTCATTAATAGGCAGCATAAAATAGTTGGTGATTTAGAACACACAGGAAAGTTTCTAAGTCTTTTTTCTTTATTGCCCCCACCTCTCTAGGAGCCTTTAAACAGTTTTTTTCCTTAATTGGCTTTCTACCTCCATAAAATTTTAATTCCACAGACATACTGCATATTTATTCATGTATTAAATGTATGTCCATGTTTTATAGAGAGTAAGAGATTTTGTTTTTAGTGTTCTATTTCCCCAAAAAATCAGTGTTGGCCTTCTTGAGGTGATACTACCTGTATTGATGGTTTACAGCAGTGGATTCTCAATTTTTGGTTGAGGACTTTTGTATTTTCTAAAATTATGGAGTACATTGAGGACCTTTTATTTATGTCTGTTATATCTAGCAAAAATACTATATTTGCAAATAAAGGTGAGAAAAATTACAAAATACTTATTAATTTATGAAAAATAACCATTTCTCCTCCTTCCCTCCTTAAATGGTTTAGTGAGAAAAGTGACATTGTTACATATTTTTACAAATCTTTAAGGCCTGGCTTAATAACAAACAGCAAGACTCTAATAGCTTCCTCTGTGTTCAGTCTGTTACAATGTTGTAAAGAAAAACTGGTGTCATACAGATACGTAGTTGGAAAAGAAAGGAATATTTTAATAACCTTTTTATATAATAGAAGTTGCTCTTTTTTGACATTACACCAAATGTGACAGTTTGTAGTTTCTTAAGGGATAGTTGCAGTGCAGTGTAGAATTTTATACTATATAAAAGCTTTTGGTCCTATTACTTTAAAATTCATTGGTCTGTCTTTCACTTTGAATGACTCTTTAGTCCATGAATAATTTTGTACCGCTATACATAGGTCACTTGGAAAATACTGGTTTACTGACTTATGCAGATCTTCCAAATGCTGGTAATAGTACAACTACTCATGTGTCATTACTGTCACTACTGATCTTATCAGAAACTCTAAAATTTGGAGATACTTGTCAAGCTTTTTTCATTTGAATGTTGTCCTTGGCAATAAATGATATTAGTTGTTTTTCTTGACGTGACAAGCTCGCTTTGTTTTTCTTTGAGAAAGTATCTGTCATATACTCAAGTCTGAATAATCAGAGTTTGCCAGGTGTTCTTTGAAATAAAAAAAAGTGTTCCGTGAAAAAGATGACTTGACTAGCTTGTAACTCAAAACAACTGCACAAGGGCCTTTTTTCTTCAGTCATCATATTTCTGTATGCAGCAGGAATGCTTTCTATGTACGTCCCAGTTTGTCACAAAATATTAACAAGATGTGTATCCAAACTCAGGATTTAATAGAATTAGTAGTTTTCTGTGACAATGTTGTGATGAAGACTACGAGTAGTAGTTTACTTTGGTGCCACTGTCTTGATCTGGCTGCTTGATGAGGCTCCAGGTATTTATCCACTGTTGATTTTTGCACCACTAGTGCGCATGTCAACACAGAGGAAAAGGCAAATAACTAGTTAGTGTTAGTATGAAAACAGTTTTGACCTCCCCAGGGGTCCATGGAACACACTTTGAGAACCACTGATTTAGCGCATGGACTAGAGACAAAACGATCTCTACTGAATCCCAGCTCTATCACTTATTAGCTAAGTACATGACCTTGGACAATTACCCGATAGCAAACAGGACAAGCATTATCTCAGTAATATAGACCCCTAAAATCAACAAAATGTTTGACATTAGCTCTTCTATCCTGTCATGTTAATGGGTTTTTTTTTAATTTGATATGTATATTTGCAGAACTACAGGAGGGGGAGGGAATTTAAAAGCAGTATATAAAGCAGGGTAGCCAAGATTGGATTCTGAAATGACTTGCTATCATGGAGTAAGAAAGATGTTTGTCAGAATCCCAAATTATGTTCCTAGGCCTATAGAAATTTTAGGACAATTCTTTTTAAAGACAAATGCTAAGCTTGCTATTTTGTTTTGTAATCCAGTCAAATGTGTTATTGCTCTTGGTTCTGAAATTTGCATTAAATCCTCCCCATTCTCCAACAGTCTTTTCAAATAATTAAGGTGAGGAAAAAAGATCTGTTAATGGTAAACAGTGAATTTTCCCTCTTTGATTGTCAATTCAAGGAAGCATTATCTTTCTTTGGTTAGTTTTATCCTTTATGCTCTTTGAACATAGACTCATCTGTAAATATACACACACCCATTTTGGAGTAACCTTCATTCCATATGGGAGGCCTTTTTTTTTTCTCCTTTAAAGGAAAAAAGATAGAACCTGTTATTACCTTCTGTCATGTTACTCATGCCAAAGAACCACTTTATGGGAGAAATGGCACATGGGGTTCTTCTATCTGCTATAATTGATTATTGCCTTGTGTGGTTCCCAGACAGCTTCTCTGCCCGTTAGTTTTTTAATTTTAAGCACTGTAAAAATAAGTAAATATTTTGTTCCCAATTAGATAAATAGTATCTTCATATAAGAGGATTTTAAAACTACAGAGAAGGTACAAATCGGGGAGGGGGAAATCACAATTAACTTTGCCTCCCTTGGATATGTTCCTTCCTGTCCTTACTGGTGATTAATAGATGCTTTGTTTGTCCTAATTGACAGCATATTATATATACATTTCATATTGTACTTTTTCACTCTTATCAGCATTTTTCTCCTTCAAAAATTATTCTAAAATATTTTAACGACTCCTTAACTTTTGAAAAAAATCCATTCTCCTAATGTTAGACATTTAAATCATTTTAAGTTTGTCAGCATTATAAATATGCTGTGAAACACATCCCTTGTGTTTGTATAGGTATATTTTTTTTCTGATTATACCCTAGTTATTTTATTGAAGGAGAATGATTGGTTCAAAAGGGCTATCTTTTACAAGGCTCTTAAGGTAAATTGCTGCATAGCTTTCCAGAAAGATTGACCCAATTTTTCATTTCACCAGTGTTCTGCTCATTTCTCCTCAGCTTCACCAGCATTGATTTTGTGTTAAATGCTTTTTAAACAGAAAAAATTATGCAAGTTAAAATGTGAACTTCAAGGGAAAGTTTACATGCTTAGAAGTTAATAATACAACACATAGCAAAACTTACACATATATTTCTCATTACTAGGAGTCCAGGCTGAACTAGCATAAAGAATTTTCCTTAACATTCTGATGGTGTGGACTCTTCAGAACAGATACCTAATCCTGGTTCTTACCACTTCTAAACCAGTACAGACCGACTTCTATAGATTGGATTGGCAATAAAAGTTCAGTTTGTACCCTTTTGATCTTTATTTTTCCTCTCTCTATACCTTAGCCCTAGGTATTGAGACAGTTGCACAGAGTGACTTAGGGGGGAGTATATGTGGGTTTTCCTTTATTATAGAAAGCAAATTTGGATAATGTGTGACTGCTGTGTGAGTCTTAGTTCTTTGCTAATTCTGTATAAATTTCAGGTGTGCAACAGAGGAACATGGCTCAAGAAACTAATCACAGCCAAGTGCCTATGCTTTGTTCCACTGGCTGCGGATTTTATGGAAACCCTCGTACAAATGGCATGTGTTCAGTATGCTATAAAGAACATCTTCAAAGACAGAATAGTAGTAATGGTAGAATAAGCCCACCTGGTAAGTAATTCTGTTAAAACACAGCACTGTTCATAATTGAAATACACTTGGATAGCACAGGGTACCTTTTTCCACTTTCACATTGTACTTCTATTACTATGTTCAGATCAGGAAAATCATTACATATTGTGATTATCAGTGGTAGGGAAACAGGGATAAAAGTATCTTTACTATTGAAAAGAACTACTATAAATCCACCTTACAGTCTTACTTGCTGTGCTAGAGAACTCTATTAAAATAGAGGCATAGTTCACGTATATATAGCTGTCTTAGAAAGTAAGGTGTAAGGCAGTGAGGCCTGTAAGAGAGGACCTTGGTTCTTGACTTTTGAAGCCAAGATAGTTGTAGAAGGAAAGAGTAAGTTATGGATAGCCACAGCTGACTTTAGGGAAAGCCTTTCTCCATTAGGAAGGAGAGGTGTAGCAGTTTGACTCAGAGTAAGAGATATTTAACCCCAGTTCCCTTGAGTTCTTTATGCATTTTTGTGCTCAAGAATTCTCCTGGAATTGAAGTGGCTTTTGTTTCAGTACTCGTGTAAGAAGAATCATGAGAATTCTGCAAAAGTAAAATGTTAATAGTATTCATCTAGGATAGTTCTCACGTAGGTTAATGCCTGAATGTATAGGTTTTTGTGATAATGAAGGTGTGGGCTGTTACTTAGTTCATTTAAAATTGTGTGTCTTTCTTGTCATTGCTTCATGTTCGAGCCAAAAGCTAGAATCATTTAATCAGGACTTCTTTAAATGTCTCATTTGTGCACTAGAAGATGTTTGTGAGTTAAAGGATTTTGGATGATGGTTCTAAGAAATAGAAGTTCAGTTTTTTTTAATATATACATTTTGTATTTGGTCTTGGTTAAAATTAACATTTTTTTCGTTGGAAAACTAAAAAATTTTTAACCTAAAATAATGAACCAGCATATTACATAGTAAAATTAAATCCATATACTATATTTTGTGGAAAAGTTATCTTGGTTCTTTTTAGATGTGTTGGCCTGCCCAAGGTAAACAGTCACTAATACGAGATGTGGTCTTGTTACAGCACCTTCTGTCAGTAGTCTGTCTGAGTCTCTACCAGTTCAGTGCACAGATGGCAGTGTTCCAGAAGCTCAGTCATCGTTAGACTCTACATCTTCATCTATGCAGCCAAGGTAGGATGTAGCCTCTGAATTGGAAAGCTATTGAAAAATAAATATTCCATATTTGATCAGTTTTGATAAGAATGAAAACTATGTATAAAGTCACTGGCATAAAATTGTATCTATCTCATTATTATTATTGACTAGTCAGAAGAGTCTTTTTGTCGATTTTACATTGGGATGGAAGTAGGGAGTTGTCTTTTAAGCCTCAGACTTCCTTTTCAAACAGTTTTTTCTTTCATTGTCTTCATAATATGTCCTGACAGACCTCTAAAGTCCTTTTGAAACCTGTTAAATTCTTCTAGACGTAAGCTTGTTCTGCAAGTCCTGTACTAGTACTTTGTATTAAAAATAACAGTCTTGCCACAGGTTCTCTTTGTTTAATGTCATGATGTGGTACGATATTTATTTGTACTGTATTGTATTTTTTCTTTTTAACTTTAAAGTCTCATCATTTAGAAGTCTGAAAATACAGAAATATTTGTTTCATTCTTACTCTACTGTTAGGAAACAAATACTAAATTTCTACCCCGCAGTTCCCTTTTCCAGTTCACGATGGGAGATGTGCATTTCTGCTATGCCAGTGCATCATGTACAGCTTAGCACTGGGGCGTCTGGAGCATGTCTTCGTCATGCTAGTTTTCATCTAGTGCGTTCATGCACAATTCTGTTGCTTTATACGTTTCTGGTCCAAATTGGTCTCATGTTTCAAAGTTCTAAAACTTACGTTTAAGTTATAAAAAAAAGTATCTCTGTGTTAATTTTGTCTTAATGATCTACTTACATATTTTGAACCCTTACTTATATCATTTTAGTTACTATTCCTGCATAGATATCATTTTTAAAATTAAATATTTTTGCTTTTCTAGCCCTGTATCAAATCAGTCACTTTTATCAGAATCTGTAGCATCTTCCCAAGTGGACAGTACATCTGTGGACAAAGCAATACCTGAAACAGAAGACCTGCAAGGTTTGCACATGAACTAGTCTGTGTTTTCTCACTTATTTAACATTTGAGTATTATAAGCCAGGCACTATCCTAGGTGCATATGTTTTTTAAAATTGCCTGCCTAAGATACATATTTTTACATTCATTTTCTTTATGAGTAGAATATTATATACCCTGAAATATTTAGTTGACTGAAATGTTAGGAGCCATTTCCCACTTTTATATAATTAGGTCATCAATATAAACATAGAAAATTAAAAATTGGGGGTTTTTTTTGGAGAAATGTGATTAAATGAATGAGTGGTGGTGTTACACTGTTTTCTTTTACTGTTCTGCCTAAATACTGTTTCCTCTCCAAGAAAACTGGGGCTGCTGATTTGAGAGAAATCTTTTGCTTTTGACTCAGATTGTCTGAGTGACTATTTATTTTGACTGGCAGTGGCCCCTTTTTCCCATCTGTGACTTCCAGCATAACAGTCACATTCAATTACTTTTATTTATAGCATAGTGTCCCTTGTTCCTGCCCATGCTCTTTATATCCTCATTATGTGGATCAAAATGAAGTGGCTCTAGGAAGACTTGAAAATATGTATGAAGGCTTTCTAGTGGGCAGAGACTGTAGAAGAGGCATTTAGGACACTGTTAAAAATCTATGCTTAATTAGTCATATTCTACCAGTGTGTGGAAACAATGTGTTAATTGAGAAGGATACTCTGGAAAGAAGCCAAAGGATGACTGTGTGTCATTTTACCTATGGCATGATTTAAAGTAAGACGATGCCATGACCATCAAGTGATACCTTCCATTGTACATGGTATTCACATGGTGGCAACAGATAGTATCTACCAGTTTTAGCTGGAGTTTTCTGAAGTTTAAATTCAGCTAGGCTAGCTAATTCCCCTTCCTCTGATTTCACGCCCAACAAATAATTAGCATAATTTGCCATTTGTAGATTTTATTATAACAAGAAAGTGAACTGTCTGGCCAACATAAATATTCCAATATATTATAAATATTCATAAACATTAGAAGTGAATCCTTTTTTATTTTTCAGTTAAATAGAAAAGTTTAAGGAAGAGCCAGAGATAAGGGATATTTTAAAAAGCAGATATAGAAAAATTCCCAAGATTTAGTTATCCATTAGGCATGGGAAATAAGACAAGGGTGCTGTTAATGCTTTCAGTTGTGGTTGCTTTCAACAGGAAGCTTGAAAGAAGTTACAGTTGGACAAGATTTTAGATAGGGTGAATTGGAAGTGATCAAATTTCAAAACTAAAAGAGCTCAATTGGAGGTTGTAGGTGGCTACTAGATATTTAAATTTATGATCAGCATTATGTCTGAAATTTGGAAGTCCTTGGCATAGGTTGAAAAATGAGAGGCAAAATCAAGAAGAGCAAGTAGGATAATGAGTCGGCAAAAGGGAGAGAAAGAAGTCATCTAGAGCCTTGTTGGTTTCAGGCCACAGATACCAAGGAAGGATTTCAAGGAGCAAGAGTTGCTTAGTTCTGAGAGAGAGCTAAGTAAGGAAGAGTGAAAACAGGCGCTAACCATGAAGATACTACTTAACGACAGAACAAATTTTATAATGTTGGTAGTGGAAAAATACATGCTGCTTAAGGCTAAAATAGCAGTTCTACACGTTTGACAAAAAAATGAAGATTGCAGGTTAATAGGCCATAATAATATGAAGTGCTTTTATACCATTTGTGGCATATGGAGACAATACAGTTTTCTCCACTTAGTACTGAGTACATTAATGCAAAAGATGGTCTTGGTGCCATATTCAGAAAAATTGTGGGGGATTTTAAAATTGTATAGACTGCTTTTTCATGCGTGATTTCAGTGACAGTATTAACTTATAAGTACCTTTTAAGAACTTAGCATTCATAATTTCAGCATAGTGGAATCTTTGAAGAAATGTGTTTCATCTTAGTTTGAGAGGATTAGTTTTCAATGTGTAAAATCTCTCCATAGCCTGGTTTTTACAAATATCCTGTTATACTGTTGAATTAAGAATGTCTTCTTTTATTATAAACATGCCTGCAAATGTATGTGTATCTGTATATATACGTACACTCAATACATAATCTACTTGTGATTTCCCTATTTGATAGGAACAAATGCAGAGAATGTTTTTTCCATCTAGTTCATACATGAATGAAAAGAGAGAAGGTCTTTGACTCAAGTCCTATGGTTGTTTGAGCTGGAACTGGAACCCAGGCCTCTGACTCTAGGCCAGTGTTCTTTCTCCTAGACAGTTGTGGTGCTTCCTGGACTGGGATGTCCCTGTGTGTGTTCTGTTGCCACATCCAGCCCCCCACAGTTCCTAGGGTAGGATCCGCTGGTTTGGTGACCTACTCAGGAATCTGTTTTCTTCCTTATTAATATATTTGCATCCCTCAAAGGAAATTTATTTAGGTAGAAAGACCATCCCAGATGAAAGAGGGTTCATGAGGAGTCCCTGTGTGCCTTAGCCAGAGTTTCCTAGCATTTTTTATTGGAGTTTTCAGAACAGTGTCCTTGAAACAGCTTTTTTTCTGTGTAAGTATCCTGCTTACAATTAGGCTATGTTGCCACCAGGTGAGTGGTACTGCTTTCATCTTGTCCTCATGGCTCTGAGGAGTTTTTATCATGTTTAACTGAGAATTTAGCATATTACAGCATCTTTCTCATTTAATTATGCCTTTTCATTTAATAAACCACAGTACCTCAGTTTAAACAGTGTCACTTAGTAATGTCAGATTTTCAGTTTACAAAAGCTTAGCTTTTAAAATAGAAAAACTTTTTAGTGTTTTGGTGCACTCTAAACTATGATACTTGATTGCTTATTGTATAATATGCTTAACTTCAGTTAACCTCTCTGTCCTCAGATATTTGACCATAGTAAAAAGAATATGGAATTTAGATCCAGAAGTTCTGTTTTCATATCTTGACTCTTCCACCTCTCTGAACCTTATTTATATTATTTATAAAGGTGCATAACAACCATGTCCACCTTATAGGTTATTAGAAGTCAGTGAAATAATGGAGGTGAAACGTGCTTAATGAACTACAAAGAATATTCTTATTCTGTATAAAGCTAGTGATTTGGGAGTTATAGGAGGCTTTAGAATAAGAGAATTTTAAAGCTTTCCAACAGTAGCAAGAAATCACTACTAAGGTGGTGAGCTCTCCATCAAGGAAGCATGTTAGAGCTGAGTTACTGTCAGGAACAAAACAGAGGGGATTGCTGCACTGAGTGGCAGAGTGACTTACAGTTCTCAAGTTTTTTTCAGCTCTGAGGGTTTCTGACTTCACACAAAATAGAATTGGTTTAGAACAACTAGAGAGAAATAGTCGGTCCATTTGGACTGAAAATCAGAAATTTTTGTGTGGATTAAAAATCAGAGATTGATTTTAAAGAGTGAGTGATGGTAGCCAAAACAATGTGGGAAAAGTTGGAGGACTAACAAGTCCCAACTTGAAAACTTAATTCAAGCTGCAGTATTAAAGATTACACAGTGCTAGCATGAGGATTGTCATATAGATCAATGGAATAGAATTGAGAGTCCAGAAATACATTCTCACATTTATGGGCAATTGATGTTTCGACAAGGATGCCAGGATCATTCGGTAGGGAAAAAATCATCTTCAACAAATGATGCTGGGCCATTTAAACAAATGAAATTGGATTCCCTCTCTCACACCATACACAAAAGTTTACACAAAATACATCAAAGACCAACATGTAAAAGCTAAAACATATAAAACTTTTAAGAGAAAAGAGGCATAAATCTTCATGACCTTGGATTATGTTTCTTTAGATATGATGCCTACAGACAGCACAAGCAAACAAAGAAAAAATAGATACATTGAACTATATCAAAATTAAAGATCCTTTTGCTTCAAAGGATACCATCAAGAGTGAAAAGACAACACACAGAATGGGAAGAAATTTGCAAATCATCTGATGAGAATATATAAGGAAATATAGACATAGTTGTCATCAATAAAGACAACCCAATTTTTAACATGCTACTTACATAGATGAACTTCGAAAACATACTAAATAAAAGAAACCAGGTACAAAAGGTCACACGTTGTATGATTCCATTTTTATGAAAGATAGACACAGTGAAGAGGGCTTTTTTGATGGAGAAGACTTTGTGAGAGCAGAAGCCTATGGATAGGAAAACATGAAATTTGGGAAATAGAACAGCAGTAGCTGGAGTGGCCAGTTCAGACAAGTATGTGTTAAAACTAAAGCTAGAAAAGTTGTCTAGAACCAGGCCATGGAGAATTTCTAAGGTATTTGGTTTTAATCCATGGTAAGGAAAGAGAGCCATTTTGAAGGTTGGTTGATTTTTTTTGTTTGTTTGTTATAAGATGACACAAAGTTGTATTTTTAGGATTAATGTAACAGTTTTGTGCCTCCAAATAGCTGCTAATAGAGACTCATCTCATTTATAGGGCTGATCTCTTCAGGATGGTGGCCACTAGCCTCACGCAGCTAATGACCACTTGAAATGTGGCTAATCTGAAGTTAGATAATGTATTTTCATTTGCTAAGTGTAACATATACACTAGGTTTTGAAGACTTAGTAGCAAAAAAAAAGTGAAATGTTCTATTCTTTTCATGTTGATTATATTTTAAAATGATAAAATATATTTTGTCTGTTTTTATTTTTTAATATGCCTGCTAGAAAATATAAAATTAAATACATGATTCAATTATTATATTTCCTTTGGACCCTGCCACTATGCAGGCTTATTTTTCTCTTGAAAATTTAATTTTTTTCCCTTTTTAATGGATTTTTGAGCTAAGAGTAACTTAAAGATCATTGGTCCTCTTCCTTATTTTGCATACAAAAAAATGAGGGAAGTGAATTTTATCCCAGTGGGTCATTGTAAAAGTGTGTATTCATTCAGTAAGTATCTACTGAACAACCACTCTGTGTAAGCACTGGGTATACAGTGGTGCGTGGAAATAGTCCCCAACCTCAGAATGCTTTAGCTTAATCCCTGAATGAGACTTGTCATGATTCTTTGACGACGGGATATGTTATATTACATAGATACTGTATATACTGTAAGGTGACCTATTAATGTCATCTTACGTTCAGTTTTATTTTTCACCACGTGTCTGAATATGCCCCTAAACCGAGGTAGTGCTAAATAGTTTTATGTACTCATTGTTATATTTGTGTGCTTTTTTTCTTTCTTTCCTTTTCTTTCTTTTTTCTTTCTTCCTTTCTTTTTTTTAGCAGGACCCAAAGCAGAATGTGATCTTGAATGTGATCCTCCATGTGGGTAGTTAAACTAATTTTACCTGCCCAGTGCTTTTTGAAGTGTCTTTAAAGTAGTGGCCAGTAGATTTTGTCTAGTTGGGATTCCCATTAAAAATTATTAGCAAGCGCCTTGCAGCTTACTTCACAGCCTTTATGCCGTCGCATAGGCCTCCCAAATAGCCTTTAGGGCCAGTGGATGCGATGCAGGCAGCCACCTGTTCTTAATCATTAATAAGCAGGTGTTCTTTGTTTATAATTCTCATCTCAGAATATGAAAAACTGCCTAGATCTGAGGAAACTGTCCTTATTTTGGCTTCAGGTTCAATAAGAGTATGGTCTTTTGGTCTTTAGTCTACTGTATGGCCCTTTTAAAAGATTGAATCATTTCCTTTTACATAGAGTTTGATAAGGGATGCTGTGATCTTACATATCACATAAAAATTGGAGAAACAGGAGTAATTTCTGAGAGTCGTATGTAGTACTGAGTACTGTACTGTCTTGCCTGTAAATTCATTTGGTGAATGTCTGCATTCAGGCTAACACCCACTAGTTTCAGGTAAGCTGAGTTACCTTAGTCTGATGAGGATATAGTGGATGTTGATCAGCCTCAGATTTGAACCCTGGTTCATAAGCTTTTACATTGCCAACTGATCCTTTACTTTAAAGGTGGTGCATTTGCCTCAGTTAAAAAGAAGCCATTTGCCTTGACAGATCTTTAGGGTTAATACTGTGAAATGTCTTTGTTGCGGTATGCGGTAGCTACATTTGTTATCCATAGCAGATAAGTGTATTTTTACTGTTTTCCATTTCCAGATACCAAAGTTTGTGTCTCAGTGGTTAAACTGGTTTTGTTCAAATGTGTAATCTTGTGGGATGGTAGTGTTGTTATTGCCATTAAAGCTTTATTTATAGTAGTTAATTTGAATATCAGACTTTCTTGGGAGAACAGGCATGGCTTATAGATTTCAAAGATAGTAAATGTAATAGATTGTTTTCTGATTGCAAATTAACTATTTTTGAGCTCATTTACACACAGCCAAACCTTACCTGATAGTGTTCTAGGGGCTAGGGATAAAACAGCAAACAAGACATTCAGGCCCTGCCCTCACAGAGCTTACATTCTCAGGGTACTATTTATTAAAAATAAAAGGTTTTACGTTTCAAAATAAAATGTATATATTGGTAGAACTATCTCCCATCTAGCTTCAGAATGTCTAGGTGGAACAGTCACATTACAGAGTTGTTTATTCATGCATATTTACTTGTTTGTGGTGTTTTGCCTTTTTTCATATTTTGTTAAAATATGACATAATGTGTTAACATAAGCAGGTTAGAATCCATTACATCAAGTGTTTGAATATCTACTAGGTGTAGTTCACTGTGGTGGGTGCTGGAAAGTCAAACAGGGAGTAAGATTCCGTCCCTCTGAACAGGCTTACAGTCTAGTTGGGGAAAGAGGGCACATAAATATAATATGTAAGTAACTCAGTACTAATTCCATTCAGCAGATATGTATTGAGTGCCTGCTTTGTGGTAGGAGGCACTGGATAGGCCCTGGTAACAGGGATGAAAAGGATAGGTTCCTGCCCTGAAATGGTTCACGGTGAAGGCCGGGTTAAGTCAGATGGGCATTTATAATAGTGTAGAAAGTGCTACTGGGGCATAGTAGGGTTTCCTGCTGTGTCAGGGAGGGAGGGAATAGATTAAGAGTTGATAATATAAGCATAAACAAAAAAGACACATTGGGGTTGGCCAGGTAAGGAGGAGGGACAAGAGGGGCATAAGAAAAGTATTCCATATAGAAAGGACAACTTTTATAAAAGCCCAGAGGTAAGAGAAAATTCTGGATCTTCAGGAAACCTGCAGATATTTCAGTGTGGCTGAAGCGTAGTGTGTTGTTGAGGGGTGAGAAATGAGGATGAGAAAAATCCTGAAGGACTTCTGGGCTTTATCCTGGGGGTCTGTGGGAAGTCGTCAAAGAATTTTAAACATTGGAGGGCATATCATTAGATTTTCATGCAAGGCAGATGATTTGGATGCAGTATGTAAACGCATGGATTGAAGAGGGGGCTCACGTGAAGTGTCCAGTATTTATTTGGTTGAGACTATTTAAGGGAGTTAAGAGCAATCAGAGTGAAAAGCTGCAAGAAAACTGAGACAGGGTTTCCTGGGGGAAGGGCTACTTGACCTAGATGAAATGAGGGAAAGGAATTCCTTTTGAATTTATGGTAGACAGTGTGAGCAAAGGTACCTGGCATAGCCCCAGAGATTGGTTGAGCAGTAGATTTCTGTGAAGGACGACAGTTGGTGATGAAATTGAAGAGATTAAGAACTTGATCCCTGGCAGGTCACTGTTTTAGAACAAGATCCAGGTCTGCTAGGTCACATTATAGATTTAACTCTAGTAACAGCACTCAGGAGGGCCAGGGTAGTTAAGGGCGGAGAGGGGGGTTCACATTTGTTAGGATTTAGGGACAGTAATTTGACCTGAATATTAGTGCAGCTGTCCTTAGTTTCACTACTTAACATTTTAATCAATTTATCTTATTCCTAATATTTTAAAGGTTTTATATGGAACAGCCTGAGAATTTTGAACGTACTAAGTATTCCACTGAATCTTGGTGTCAGCATTTTTTCCCCTTGTCCTCTTTGAAGTCTACGTAGTTCTGAGCTCAACAGTATTTAGAAGTTTGCATGTGACCATTTTCTTACACACTCCCTTAGAATACCCAAGGAGTATTTATGTGTTGTGTGTCTTTTATTGGTCAAATACATAATTATTAGAAAATGTAGGAAATATAATGTTTTCTAGAGTCACCGTTAACATGTCAATATATATTTTAGATTTTCTGCATGTGTGTATACATGCATATATAACTATATATTTATATTTAACAAAAGGGGGTCATATCATATAAACTGTGTAGCTTAATGTAAGCATCTTTCCAGGCTAGTACATTAATAAATTACTCAGTTATCCTCTGAATAAACAGACTGGGGGGTGGGGGGAACAACCACCCAAATGGCAAGATCTCATTGAATAATTAAATTTCATCGCTTTCCTATTTCTGTCAGCTTCAGTATCAGATACGGCACAGCAGCCATCTGAAGAGCAAAGCAAGTCTCTTGAAAAACCAAAACAAAAAAAGAATCGCTGTTTCATGTGCAGGAAGAAAGTAGGACTTACTGGTAAGAGCCTAAATCATATGGTGTAAAATTAAGATTTTATTTGAGATGATTCATGACTTACTGTTACTGGCTTCGTTTAGGATTGTTTCTGTTCCCGTAAGAGTTAATACTGGATATGCTTCACCTTCTGAATTATCTTAAATAAAAGTAGTTTTAATTACATACCTTAAAGTAAAATGAATAGCTTTTCTTTTCAAAATTCATTTCAGCTGAGTTTGAGAATAATAGACAAGGTCGGTTTGCCAGGTGCTGTGAAAGGGCAAAGGTGTGGCTCCTGCCTCCAAAAGCCAGAAACCGGTTGTGTGTGAGAGAATATTTAAGAACTTGGTGAGCTGTGAAGTCCTTTCTCTGTGTAAAGTGGCTAGCCATGGGTGGTTGTGAGGGTTCCGAGTTAATGCACGGAAGGTGGTGGCCCTGTGCTGCCACTCAGTAAGTAATCAGTACACGTTAACTGCCGTCCCAGGGCTGTTGGGTGGTGCTGTTATTAAGAAAGGGAGAGAAAACTTCACAATCCTAGGGTATTTGGCCCCCCAAAAAGTACATTTAAGTGCAGATAGATTGCTTTGGGAATTCAGAGATGGGCATAATTAGTTTATATAGAAGAAGAGGCGTAGAGGCCCATCAAAGAAAGTATCATGAAGGTAGAATGTTTGAGATGGGTCTTGAAAGATGAGTAGGACTTACAACTGACAGAAATAGGGGCATTTCAGCTCGGAAGAAATATCTTCATGAAGGGCGCAGAGAAAGGAAAGGATAGGGCATGTTTAGGGACCGTAAATGGGGAGTGTAGCTGTACCACAGAGTAGGTGAAGAAGGGTATCGGATACCACCATCAGACAAAAATAGAGACAAGACTAAGATGTGCACTGTGACGAAGTGACAGGGACAGGTGCAGCCGTAAATAGTCCCCGCTGACTGTGTACGTTATGCCAGGCGTTGTGCTGAGTACTCTGCCTAAAAATCAACCTAAGAGCTGAGAAGAGGAGGAGATAAGATTTCGAGCAAAATTGTATTTTAGGAAGGTTTCTCTGGCTAAGGAGTATATAGGGGATAAAGAAGAAGGGAAATTACAGTCTGATACCAGAGATGTTTAAGACTGGCCCATACCTTGGCAAGTGTGTTTATTTAAAGAATACAAACATGAACTAGTAAGAAGACGTTTTAAAGTATACATACTTAGTATCAAACATTGTCTTTCTAAATCTCAGAAACTTAGACTTCATGATTAGAAGGCTGCAACTTAGTAATTTTCATCTTTTCCAGTCTTGTCAGTCTGGTGTTCTTGGCTTCATTTTTCATTCATTATTATGAAGTTACAGAGTATGTTTTTGAAGTTAAAAAAAATGTAGTAAAGGAAGTTTACATCAAATGTCAGTGTTTAAAATACTGATTCCTATGCTCTATTTCCAACAATTCCATCATACCATAAAATCCTAATTTGGGGGGTGCAAGACTGGTTTAATTTAAAGACTATCCTCATTGCTTATATCTGTCTTTTGTCTTCAGTTCTTCAGGCATTTCCCTAAAATAAGTAGCATTTATTGCATGTTTAGTATATGTTAAGCACTTAATACTTCCTCATTTAATTCTTATAGTAACTGATTCCAAAGTTACAAATGCAGAAACTGAGGCTCAGAGAGGCTATTTGCCTACGTTAGTAAGTAGATTCACGCTTAGGCAACCTAACTAGATCTTGTCTCTTAATCACCCAGCCTGGTTACAGTTCACATCTCCATTGGAGGTTAGCCAGAGAAAGCTAATACACTTTTATTTGTTAACAGTTCTGTCAAAAGTTTCATTTCATCTTTCTTAATTAAATCTTAAGATTGCCTTCTGACATTATGCTTTTTTCACATGTATGTAGTATTTGAGAAATGTTCCACATTTTCGATTTAGCAATTCTGTTCTTGATAGGAGGCAGTTGTGGCCATGTCACAGGTAAAGAAACTTGAGCTGAGAGAAGTGGTTATGACTTGCTCTGGTACAAATCTGTATTTGTAGGTGGGAAGAAGAAATGAAGCTATCAGCTAGTGAATTTTGAGAATGTTACTAGCTCATGAAACGGCTTGTTTGGAATGATCCTTTACATTGCTGCCCTAAATACATGATCTTTTTTAACATTGTTTAGGCTAAGGAATTTAATATTTAGAGCTTCCATTCAACTCATGTATGTGTATTAATCCATTTTCAGGGTTTGAATGCCGGTGTGGAAATGTTTACTGTGGCGTACACCGTTACTCAGATGTACACAATTGCTCTTACAATTACAAAGCTGATGCTGCTGAGAAAATCAGAAAAGAAAATCCAGTAGTTGTTGGTGAAAAGATCCAGAAGATTTGAACTCCTGCTGGAATACAAACTCCTTTGACCATCTGCAAACTAAAAATTGACTTGAGGTTTTTTTTCCTAGTCATTGGGAATGTAGAGCGATGTATCTTGCATAGACCTTTTAATCATGCATGTCATCAGAAGAATAGATTTTTGTTTTTGTTTTGAAAATGACTCTGAACATTTATTTCCATTGCAGTTTCTGTGGCTGAAAAGACTTAAGTAAACTTTACAAGTATTATCCTTTTAAGATCATTTTAATTTTAGTTGAGTGCAGAGGGCTTTTATAACAAACGTGGAGAAATTTTGGAGGGCTGTGATTTTTCCAGTATTAAACATGCATGCATTAATCTTGCAGTTTATTTTCTCATTGTGTATGTATATATAGCTTTTCTCTGCAGCACGATTTCTCTTTGATAATGCCCTTTAGGGCACAGCTAGTTATCAGTAACTGAATGTATTTTAATCATTATGGCTGCTTCTGTTTTTCATTAACAAAGGTTATACATATGTTAGCATATAGTTTCTTTGCACCCACTATTTATGTCTGAATCATTTGTCACAGGAGAGTGTGTGCTGATGAGATTCTAAGTTTGTGTGTTTTTAATTTTGTTTTGAGCGAGGGAAGGAAAAGCTGTATGCATTTCATTGCTGACTGCAGGTTTCTTTCAGATTACGTTCATCGGTCTGTGTGTATACAATATGAAGAATGATCTGAAGTAATTGTGCTGTATTTATGTTTATCCACCAGTCTTTGATTAAATAAAAAAGAAAACCGTAATGTTCCCTTGCGTTGCTTTTTCTTTGTTATTCTTTCCGGTAGTTCATTTTGGCTTTTGGCCCTTTAGTTTTCTACTTTACCAGTTTTGTGAGATGAACTCTCACTTCTATTTGTGACTAAAACTTATGATGGTAAGTTGTAATTTTACATTCCTGTGAGTTGAAGATGTCAGCATTTCTTTAAAGCCAAGAACTTTTCTGTCACTAAGATGTCATACTTTCTAGCTTTTGTGTGATTCTCTGTTCTGCTCTCTGTCGCGCTGAATTAGCATCTAGTGGAAGCTGCTTTTTCTGGTAGGATTAGAGAAACTGAAAAAGCGTAATTCAGACAGCAGTTGGAGAATTGTGGAGTAGAAGGGCCTCCGAAACACTGTTTGTCCTGTGGTTTTCAAACTTACCTGGCAGCCAGCCTTTTTTTAAACATGAAATATTATGTAAAACATTAAAATAGTCTTTTACAGTAAAATACAAATTTCTATGTTTAAGTTTGTTTACTAAACTACTTGTATATTCTCTCTTAATATGTATATTCTAGCTTGGTGTGTATTGATGGCTTAGCATTGAAATCTGTAAATAAGGGAAAACTATTATGGCTATTTAATAGATCCACTTAAAGTATTTAATAGAATTTAACACCCATTCTTAATAAAAACCTTTGATAAACTAGCACTAGAAAGGAATTTCCTTAAGGTGATAGTTTCTATGTAAAACCAACCAAATAAACAAAAAACAAGCATCTTCCAAAAAGAGGAAAATTTATTACCCTGTAAGTCAGAAACAAAGGGCTGGTTTTCCACTATCACAGCTTATATTCAGAATTTGTGTTGGAGAGCCTAGCCAATAGAGTAAGTCAAGAAAAAGTTTTACAAGTAGTAGAAACACTCATTTGCACATTACAATTGTTAGTTTTTATAGAAAACCAAAGTAAGTCTAAAGAGAATACCAGAAATAATAGGGTTTGGGTAGGTTAGTAGATGTAACATTAATTTTCACAAGCCAGTTTCATTTGTTTACAGAAGTAACAACTAGAAAACAAGAAGATAACCTTATACAATAGTATTAATACCAAGTACCTAGGAAGTGAACAATGTATGATGATCATCACCTCTTTAAGAAAAAATTCTTAAACATTATTGAGATAGTAACTGAGACCTCAAAAAAATAGAGAGAGACATGTTTGGCTAGGCAGACGATTTCATAAAGATGACATTTGTCCCCAGATAGACCTATAGATTCAAACAATTCCAGTCAAAATCGCACCAAGTTTTCTCCTGGAACTTGTTAAGGTGATTCTAAAGTAGAAGATAAAGGAGAGCAAAAGGCTAGGACATCTCAGAAAGGAAAGAGCAGAGGGGTGGGCATTTTTTCTTGCCAGATGTTAGGACTCACTATGAAGCCATGTTAATTAAAATAGCATGGGATCAGCTAAAGGCCGAAGAGAATTCCACTGGATTAAACCAGAATGCCCAGAAAATGCCTACCGACCTCCCTGCAGAAGATGCCTGGGCCCGCTGCTTCTGGCTTTCTCTCTGATTTGGTCTACTTTTAGGTAGCATAGCAAACTTTTCACCCTTTTTTTTTTTTTTTAAGTTAAATTTCAGGGCCGTGGGACATCAAACAGCTGAGTCTATAGGTCTGCTTTCTAGGAGGATAACCACTAGCTACATGAGACTTGCAAATTTAAATCAGTTAAGTCAAATGAAGGCTTTGATTCTCCATTCACTAGTCACATGTCAGATGCCCTGGTAGCTCCGAATTGGATAGCACTGATAAAGAACATCACTGCAGAACATTCTGTTAGCAATGGTCTAGCCCAGTGCATTGTGTCCAGAGGAGCTGTGCTGATTTCCCTCAATGCACAGGCAGAAGCCCCAGGAGCTAGTGGAGGGAAAAGCAGATGTGGACCACCCCATCCAAAGGAAGTTGTGGGCAAGGTAGACAACTGAAGATGCAAGACTCCCCTGGTCTGTCCAGCAAGGGAGAAGGTAGGTGATTTTGGAACAATAAGCGGGGAAAGTAGATGGCAGACTAGGAGTAGGGCTTTTGGTCTGGAAGCCTTAAGGAAGAGAGAAGCAGGCCTAAACTTGGTGCTTTAGGGGAAAAAGAGCAGAGATGTTTATGAGAGACGTAGTTCAGTGGGCAGTTATTGTTGACACAGGAAAGCAGTATTTGGGGAGAGGGGCACTGAGAAATATCTATTCAGCTATGCCAGACAGGTTGCACATGTTAAAATGTTGAAATTTTTCTGCATCTTTGGGTGCATAGCTATAGCTCAAAAAGGAAAATTTAGATGGGAAAAGGAAAAATTTGAATGAGAAAGCTCTTCAATATGTATGCACACAAGAAAGCAAAACAGTCATAAGTAGTTGAAATCACAGAGAAGAAGTTGCTTGTGCCTTAATAACAAAGGAGAACATTGTATGGTACACATTATTATCAAGGCAATTAACTGTCAATGATGTTTTCTCTATTTAGCATGATGGTTCTCGTTTGTGGGTCTTTCAGATCCAGCTTAAATCCGCATTGGCTTTGAGGTGGCATTCCATCAAGACACGGACACGGTAGTACCTGAAACAGTTAAAGCAGACTGAAGACAGAAGGAAAAAGGGCAGGGAGAAGAAATTTGTCTTGCAAAAAAAAAAACCTTGAAAAAACCCAGTCTTGGTTGAGCTGGTTCACTTGGCTCTGCTTCAGGATAGTCAAGAAAAATGATAAAGACCAAGCACTTCAGTGAAGCAAGTATCTCCTCTCAAGTGTTCATTGTACACGTTTTAGAGAGAGGGCTTCATGTGTTTGGCATGTATACCATACGTTTTAGCATCAGAGGGATATACGTCATGTGCAAACATGAGTGACATTCCGTTGTCTTCAAGTTCAGCATTTAGAGGACCTTGGGACTGAATTCAAGTAATTCAAAGTGCAAGTGAAATTTGCAGGGTGGGGAGAAGGGGAATGGGTGGACTCCTGAGTGTTGCCCTAAAAAGGCTACCCCTCTGCTCCCAGTACAGGCAACATCCACAGCCTGCTCATCTGAATGACAATTGCCCACCTCTCGGAGCCCCTCCCTGCAAACCGTCTGCACCCTGGATTCAAAAAGCCCTTCCCAGTTCTGAAAAGGCGTCAGGGGCATGCTGGTGTGCACGAGGCCTGCAGCCCAGCTGCTGCAGCCTCTGTTGTGCTGCATTTTAGCATCTGAGGGAGGCACCGAATTTGGTGCTACAGAGGCTCAAACCAGCCCTTCAGGATGGAGGTGCCAAAACTCTTCCAGTCCTGAAAGCATCCATACCCTGCGACCCGGGAATTTACCCTCTGACAACAGTGTAGGAAAAGGAAAACGTTCTGTGTATGCATATGTTCGTGGCTCCATTAGTACAATCCCAAACACTGCAATTTCTTTAGCTGATGAAAATGATAATAATGAAGCTTATTTGGCCACAAGGAAAAATGTTCAGAAGTAAAATGTAAGGAAAGACCAAAAAATTGCCTCTCTGTGAAGCCAGAAAATCGTGTGCATACACATGGAATGAACAAATAACATGGAAATTTGATAATTGTATGATGATGGGGATTATGGGCAATATTTTTTCCTTAGAATTCTTTTTTATATTGCTGTAATGTACATACTTAACACACTCCCTCCCAAAACAGGAGAAAGAAAAGAAAATCGTGTATTTGCAAGTTACTTCAAATGTTTTGTTCTTTTCTTTTCCCCAAATGGAGAACAGCTTTGGTGTTTTCAGACACTATATATAATTAGTGGGTTGGCAAGTCTTATTTTAAAACAAGAAATTGTACTCCCCCTTCAGCTATCTCATACCCACACCTCTACACACACACACACACACACACACACACCCACCCATGGCTCACACAGCACATACTCCGTAAATAATGAAGCTGCTGTGGTGCTGCTGTAATCTTCTGTATCAGGTGTTTTGCTGGTCGTTGACAAAGCTGCACACAGAATAAGATAGTTCCCACCTCCAAGAGGGGCAGGGCCAGTACAGAACATGTAAATAGCTCATTGCCTTGCGGCTAACAAGTCACTTGAATTTGGTAGGTATTAGGTGCTGCCTGGAATGCCTCTTACAAGGTCGCAGAACAGACTTGGGACACTCCTCTTTCTTTCCCCTGTCTGGAACCTACCAGAAAGAGTCAGACCACCTACCACTGCCTCCCCAGGGCAGACTCAACCAAAACTCAGGTCTACCCCTGGTAGAGACGCTCTGGGCAGGAGACAAGAGCCAAGAGGCTGGGCAAGACTGATTCCCATACAGGGTGCTCGCTGGTCAGCTTCAATCATCTCAGGGCCTAGAGAGGGGGTTCAGCCAGCCCCACCTGCAGTACCCCTCCCCTCAGGCCTTCGGGTTTCAGACCCATTTATCTCACATTATCCCAACAGTCCAGCCTCTCCTCCCTCCAAGCCAAACTGCACGTCAGCCTCCCTTTCTCTGCAGGGGTGGAATTTGCAGAGCAACAGGGCTCGCGAACCTGGCGGGCTTCGGGGAAGCGTCGCTGCTCGCGGGGCAGGAGCCCTCGAAGGGGCGGCCTCTTGGTGGGCGGGGTTCGAGGAGGGGCGGAGCCCTCGGAGGGGCAGGGCCTGTCTCTGCTGGGTCACGGGGTCAGCTCCGGCGGGGTGAGCCTGAAGGGGCGGAGTCTGCAGGAGGCGGGACCTGGCCTGACCACCTCTGCCGAGTCCAATCGCCTTGGTCGCCCGCAGCCCGCAGCCCGCAGCCCGCCGCCCTGCTCCGTTCTCGCCAGCATGTCCTTCGTCCCCGTGGCCGAGGATTCTGACTTCCCCATCCACAACTTGCCCTACGGCGTCTTCTCCACCAAAGGCAACGTGAGCTGCGGCGCTCGGCTTCCGGGCGCGGGGAAGGGGGGGCGTCCCCTCCGCCTGGGACCCCCACACCATCTTTCCGCCCCCCACCCCCACCCCGGCCTCAGCCCATCCCTGCCACTTCTTGCCCGCACCAGACCAAGCGGGACGTCGGGCCTGTAGTTTCGCTAC